AGTTATTTGAGTGATGAATAAAAATTTATTCATCATTCGCAAGTGCTTGAATGATGAACAAAAATTTATTCGTTATTTGGAGTTATATGAGTGATGAATAAAAATTTATTCATCATTCGCAAGTGCTTGAATGATGAATAAAAATTTATTCGTCATTTGAAATTACTTGAGTGATGAATAAAAATTTATTCGTTATTTGAAACTTATTTTTTTTTTATTCAATTATTCATTTTCCTGATAATGCCCATCCCTGTCCGATGGATTGACATTGCTGGAAACGTGCCGCCAAATCGCATTGCTCACGTTTTGGAGAATTTGTGACGTTCGATTGGCTACATCAGTTTTCCAAGTATGTGGAGGTTTCTCTAGCCACGCTAGTACGATGGAGGAATCGCACCAAAGTATGAGTTCTTGGGTGGGTAGATTAAGCTCATCTCGAAGTTGTTTTACTAACTTAGAGAGGAGTACTGCTCCGCAGAGTTCTAACCGTGGAAGACTTACGGTTTGTAGGGGTGCTACCTTGCTTTTAGCGGCTAGCAAATGCGATGAAAATCTGTTTTCGCTATTTTGTACTCTTAAATAAACGCAAACACAAACGGCTTTTTCGGAGGCATCCGAAAACCATGCAGTTGGATGGGTTTGTCGGGGGTATACTGTACCCAAGGGGGAATTTTAATGTGCTCAATTTTGGGTAAGTTTTCGTAAAAGGCATTCCATTTTTGAAGGCCCAGGTTTGATGTTCTCGTCCCAATCAGTTCCCTGCATATAGAGTTGCTGTAACAGCATTTCAGCAAGGATCATTATGGGCGTTAGCCATCCTGCGGGGTCGAAAAGTTTCGCTACTGCTGATAAAATATGCCGTTTTGTGCATGAGTGTGCTGCTGATAGTGGGTCGTATGTATCAGGGTTGTTGCGAATATTCGCATTCACATTCGCAACCGCGGAGCTTCCGCATTAATTATAACATTCGCATTCGCTTTCGCATTCGCATTAATCACTGCGGATCTTTTGCGAATGCGAATATTGAAGGGACCGAAAATAACAGTTATATTTTTACGAGTTAAACTTGGCCAAATATTTTTTATTCACAACTAAAAGTCCTTTCCGGATAATAATCAAACCGCTTATCCAAATTAAACAAGTTTGGTATCAAATGAAAGAGGACTTAAATAGCTGAAATGTCTAAACGAGCAAAGCCACCTATTGAAAAATATTTCAATAAAAAATGTTAATTAATTAACCTTGGGTCAGGTATATGAATTTCTTTAGTATTAAACGATATAAAAAAAATATAAATAGAGGTGGTAACCTTCGTTCGTTATTTCTGTTTAAAAGCTATTTCAGTCCCCTTTCACATGATATAAATTTGTTTAATTTTGATAAGATGTTTGTTTATTATCCAGAAAAAACTTTTATTTCGGAATAAAAAATATTAGGCCAAGTTTAACTGGTAATAAATAACTGTTATTTTCGGTCCCTGGAATATTGTGCAAGTGCACTGATAAAACGTATATCTGGCCAGTCACAGAAGAAAGGATTAAAAATGAATTACAAAAACTAAAATCGAAAAACGCTGTTGACGTTACAGGTTATCCAAATTCAGAAACAACCAAAAGAATGAGAATGAAGAATTCTTTGGAAAACAACGGTGTTTAAACGACGGACTTGCCATGATACTAGATTGTGAAGATGAAAGTCAGGAGGATACATCCGACATTTGCAGCCCGATGCAATTCTCAAAAAAGAATTATTGCACCGCAATAAAAAAATAAAACTATAAATATAACTGAAAGTCCTCTCGACTGGTGCAGCGTCAATCGAAAAGAATTTACAATTTTGTCAAGTTTCAAGTTTTTCAAGTTTGTTATTTAGTGGCCCTGATTTACGACCCTTTAAAAACTTTTTATTGGATACAATGTTCCAATTTGAAAATTCAAGTACTAAAAAAAATATTATTAAAAATTACTAACCTTTACATTTTTTATTTAACTAAATCACCTAATTGACTCACCTAAATTATTTCTTAACAAGTAAAAAAATTTTAAGTTCGGGCGGAGCTGAACATTAAATACCCGGCGCAAGTATTCAATATAGTTTTTTCACCTTTCCGAAAACTACCGCTACATGGTAAGCAAGGGTGGGGTTACCCCTATTTCAAACATCTTCGATATAACGTTCAGTTAGATATAACGAGATAAACTTATATAGATATATGTGGGCGGCATCACGCCCATTTTCCAAAATTTAATAGTAATGTTACTTCTTTTCAAGGGATTGTTTGGGTAAAATTAGCGTCCTTAAATTTCGAAATATCGAAGTTTCAAGCATTTCTGAAATTTACCGTTATGAAAAAGTGGGCGTATTTTTAGTCCCATTTCGATAACTTTCAACGTTTTACCTTTATGTGGCAACCACAATAATCATACCGAGCATTGATGGCGATCATACCGAGCGAATGGTTACCGAGATACACATATGTGATTATAAGTGGGTGGGGTCACGCCCATTTTCCAACATTTTATTATAAGCGTATATTTTGCTAAGGAATTATTGCAAACATCAATCTTGAATAAATTAGCTCCAGTATTTACTGATTTATCGAAGCTTTCGTATTTCTCCAAATTACCGTTATATGGGATGTGGGCATAGTTATTATCCGATTTTTTTAATTTTCAGCCGTTTGGTATGTTTTGTGGAGGCCAACAACTGTGCCAAGTTTGGGAGAAATTGGTGGAGCGGTTCCCAAGATATACACATGTATGTATTCATAAGTGGGCGTGGCTACGCCCATTTTCCAAAAATGTATAATATTCTTATTTTTCGTCTAAAAATGATTGTAAATATTAATATTGAGTGAATAAGCTTCGGTAGTTACTAAAATATCGCAGTTTTCGCATTTCTGAAAATTACCGTTATATGGGAGGTTGGCGTGTTTATCGTCCGATTTTGCCCATTTTCAATACCATCTGTCCAACGCTCAAAGGAATTACACATACATATAGTTTCGTTAAGATATCTCAATTTGTACTCGAGTTATGGTGTGAGCAGACGGACGGACGGACGGACAGACAGTCACCGCTTAATCGATGTCTCTTTTCATTCTGATCATTTATGTATACATTTGTCTATTACAAACAACCTGTTTTGCCTGTTGCAAACAATCGTTATGTGAATGTGAGTGCACAAGTGCGCTCGGGTATAAAAATACTTGACATCCGCATTCGCATCCGCATCCGCGGAGGTTAGCGTTTAAACATCCGCATCCGCATTCGCATATGCGGATGTCTAAAATTCCACATACGCAACATCCCTGGTATGTATAAGTAAAGGTGTTAGCGCATTCCATTGGATTCCGAGCGCTTTTGTGAAGCTTGCATCTTGGAATTTGAGAAAATCGACATCTAGTAAATCGGAGTCGTGAATTGGCTCTAGAATTTCCAGGTGGTTCGCCGGCATTTTTCTCAAAGGGAATTCTGCTGCTTTCAGGCTTCAGGACTGTATATCGGGAAAACCTGATAGAATATCATCAACATACGTTTCATGTAATAGTATGTTTTTTGCGAGGTGATATTCGTTTTGGCAGTCTTCAGCGAGGTGGTGTAGGGTTCTTATTGCCAAATACGGTGCTCAATTAACACCAAATGTGACTCTCATTAGTCGAAAGTGTTCTATTGGCATTTTAGGGTCTTTCCGAAAGACGAATTCGCTGGAAATCTTGGTCTTCTTTGTGAACTAGTATTTGGCGATACATTTTCTCTATGTCGCCGTTGAATACGAACTAGAGATGGGCACGGGACTAAATATTTAATCCCGACCCCGCCCATCCCGAAATTCGATTTTTAAGTCCCGAACCCGCCCATCCCGACATTTTTCAGAATTGTACCGCGGGTCCCGTGGGTCCCGATATCTATCTCTAAAGCAGGCTACACACGGACAACAAATTGAAACGAGCGGTTGAGATTTCAACGTGTGTGGCGAGGTTTGCAAACCGATCGAAGGTTCACAAAAATGTTCATGTCTTTCATATTAATTTTAAATAATTAAAAATGATAATGAAAGATCTGGCATCTTCCTATAATTTTTTTTCTTTTTCGTCTCAATAAAACATTAAAAGTGCATATTTCAAACATCGTTTTTAAAGAAAATTTTGTGAATTTGCGGGGGTTGCGCTTTTATCGGGAGTGTCGGGAAAGGATTTGGTCGATTAGATAATTTTTTCAAAAGATACTGATAAATAACTGCGAAAGGTACCAAAAAACACGTTTTTCGAAAAAATCTCTAAAACGCTTCTTTGAAAAAAAGAATGGGTATTGTTTTCGTCTTGAGCGACCCAAAATTAGCTTAGAAAACATATTTTTTCTTACGTTAACGCGCTTACGTCAAAATTTGTCGACTAGTGTTATATTTATACCGCTCTTGCATAATATTTAGCTCAATCTCCGAGAAAGATTGCCGAAATATACATTACATAAACATTTTTGAGTTGAACTATTACTTCCATACATATAAAATTAGGGAATATAATACGCTACAAAAAGACGCTATGAGTTTGGAATGAGAGTATAAAGTGTGGTCAGAACTATGAACAAATGAGGTAAGCGAAAATCCATACCTAAAATCAGTAGCAGAAGTTCTTGGTAAATGGGACGACGAATATGCTTTTCCATTGATTAACAAACTTCTCCGCATTCTGACTACACTTCTAGCTAGTGACGCTACTTCAGAAAAAAGTTATCCTTCGCCGGTTAAAAACATGGTTCCATAGTACCATGAATAAAAAAAGACTGACAAGTCTAGCACTTTTACACGTACACTTAGAGCCAATTTTTCCGTGCACCGTGGCGGTTAAACTTATTTTAAATGGCCGAGCTGGCTGCTTTAAACTAAGACTAGCCAATCAATTATCTGTCAGCTGTTTTTAAATTTTACATTTTAAATTCAGTTTACGTAACCTAAGTTTAAACTGCCAGTGAAACTGGCCCTTAGATATTGAAATTGACACTGAACGGATAATACAAAGCTTCCCAAGGGAAAGCGCAAAATTGAGTTTGCAATTTAAATTATTATAATCAAAATTCCGAATAAGTTGTTAAATTACTTAATTATATCCCTCATTTGACAAACATTAAAAGAAAAAAATAAGTATTTATGTAATATATTATATAATATTGTATTATATTATATAATATTTGTGATATATAATGCTTTAATAAACCCAGAGCATAACTTTATCTTGTGTTTTTCTACAAAATAGTATAATTGTTTTATTACATGGGACTCTGCCAAATTCACAGAATGAAACTTACTTAAAGTAAAATTATATCACAAAACATTTTAATTCGGACTTCATAAAAGTTACTAGAACCTCTATTTGCGTGAAAAATAAATGAGGGTTCAAGCAGCGTGGATGCTTGTAGGTCAGGTTCGATTGGTCACTCCGCTGTGAATCAAGTTAGATGCCTGTAATTTAACGTTATTCGACAAGTCGATCCCAATCGCCCTTCCCCAAATAAAATCCTATATCCGCCACTGCATAGAGTAAGATACTCCTTTTAGCGAATTCTAAAAGCCTGATTATGGCAACTTAACTTAACTTAAGGCTCTCTCTTAAAAATTCTGTTAAATGGGTGTTGCTTATAATTGAACAGCCGAAACTTAACGCAACTTAATGCCACGCAGAAATCTGTTTCATTTTGATTCTCTAAGTTCTTCGTTCCGTTAAGTTAAGTTAAGTTGCCATAATCAGGCTTTTAGTCTTTCAAAGTTTTTGCGTAATTGAAAAAATGTATTTAAGCCATGAGGAATTATAGTTAAAAGTCCTTAAATGGTGGTACTTGTCCACAGTTTGAAAAATATGTAATTTGGGTTTTTATTATTCAATACCACATTCAAACGAAGCAACAGAGAGGATCTTAAGTATAAATTTTGAAAATTTATGAAAGAAAAATTAAATTAAATTATTAGAGTGAGCTTCATATTAAAAGTAATTTTAAAATGAAACGTGTAGAATTCTTTGACTATTTAAACACTAAATTAATTTAATTTGCTATTCAAAAATGTCGTAAATATAAAATAATTTATTGGCTTCTGTGTACAATGATGTGTACACTCATGTTAAAATGAATAACACTTTTATTTTTTATGAACTATATTTCATCTGAGGCATTTCATGTCACCGCGGCCACCTCTGTGCGCGACCTCTCAGGATTTGGATGAAAGTTTAAGAGATTGAAGGTCTAGGTCAGAGCTTCTTAAAATGTGTTCCGCGGAACCCAAGGGTTCCGTAGAAAAGTCACCGGGGTTCCGCGAAATTATTTTTGGTATGAATAAGCACGGCGGTCGGTTCTGGTTGCACACAGAAAGAAAAGTTCTATAAACAGTTTGACCGAGACGCAATTATCTATTTTCAAGTATACATATGTACTCGTAGATGGTATGATTGCCGTACTGAGTGCCATACCTACATAAGAGCGTTGAGCTTGCGCTTGCCAGCTTGTTTTTTTTTTTCTAAGCGGTATGTGTTGTTGGCCGCTGTAGCCAAAGGGTTATATACAACTTTCTACAAGGAACTAGAGCTGCAAAACTATCGATGGCACTATCGATAGTTTCAGTTTGACACCACTATCGATGGCTGGTAGCCAACTACCGCGATACTATCGGAAACCTTCAAATACAAATAATTGCCAAAAAACAACAGTGAGACCTAGCTACTTCAAACTACAAAAATGCATACTCAAAAATTGTCTAAGAAACCTAATTAAACAGCTCGAAATTTTGATTACTCGAAAAATTCGAATTTGCCTCGTTTTTGTAAATTGTTTAAAATTTAGACTTGCAACGTGTTGTTTTTGTTGCTTAAAATAACTTTTTTGTTATTTTTAATAAAGCACACCAAAATGGTATTTAAAACTAACATTTCTGTTTTTTTCAATATAAATAGTGCCGTAGTAAGGATCCCATATTTTTTCTCTTACCGATAGTATCGACACTATCGAATGGTGATGCCCAAAACTATCGAAAATATCGAATGGTCCACCCGCTGATAGTTTTGCAGCTCTACAAGGAACGCGATGAATTGCCAAATGAAATGTGAAATGTCATTACTGGGCACTTGGTAAATCACCTCAAATATTTGTCAGATTATTTTGCGGATGGTAGTAGTAATATAGGTTTGGTAAAAAATCCAGACTTTTGAATCTGTGTCTCTGTAAGAGTTTTGTGTTAGTGTTAAGAGTAAATATCATTAAGTCGCTAAAAAGGCCACCTTAACTTTGCTTCCTCCTGTCACAACGTAATTCAGGTCGAAATTAGATGCTACCACAGAAATGCGCATACAGCTTTCAGACGTTATAACGAACTACTATTTTATACAATAATTAATAACAGCGAAACAATTTCATTCTTTGCATTAAAATTTAAAGTATGTTTACTATTTCTAGTAAAAGTGTTTATTCATATTTAAATTGTACTGCCTTTGATTTTTAGTAATTTGATGTGGGGTTCCATAAAATGAAAATTGCTTAGTAAGGGTTCCATCTTCTTAAAAGTTTAAGAACCCCTGGTCTGGGTGACATGAATATACGTGCAGCGTATTTTGCCGATATAACGTAGGGTTGCCTATTTACACGGGACGTAAATTTTAAGAAAACGTCATACATACCTTTCTTTAAAGTGCTGTATCTTGGAAACCTATTAACGAAAGTTAATGAAAAAAATGGATTTCTTCCGTCTTATTGTGGGCTTTAATTGTACATTTTTTACATTTATGTGCAACTTATAAAAACAAAAAAAAAATTAAGTAAACGTTTTTCTTTTTGATTTTGTTTAGATTATAGCATTTTTTTAATTTTTATTTTTACATAAAACATTGTCTATAATGTCAACTTTAAGTACCCAAATTGGCGTAATGGGCTACTTATGCGTATGGACTCTAGAACGTCTAACGCTCGAGCAATATGATAAATAGACATTGAAATTTTATAAAATTGTATATGTTTGTAAGAGGAAAGGTGTGTAAAAAACAAAAACAATATGAATAAATCATATTAACTTTACTAAAGGTTTGAAATCACGAAAATCCCTCCAAGGAAATGCCAGAATTGAACTTTGTTGCCAGTACACATGGGAAATCTGCTTACGATGTGATTGGAGGAAATTTTAAAAGACGATCGATTGGAAAAACTCAATAATTCCGGAAGATGCCTTCAGATTGAAGGCGAAATATCGAAATCAATAAATGTAATAAATAAAACTACTAAAATCTATGTTTTATTTAATAACCGGCATGGAGCTCAAAATTAACGAATAAATTACAAAGTCCTTTAAAATAAGTCCTGAAGTCAGATAGAAAAAATAAAAACGCCACTTTAAATAAATTTATTTATTATTTATTTTATGGTAGGAGAGCTTCTCAAGCAATATAGAAGCAATTTTTTCGATTTAAGTTGTTTAAAGGTAATGAATATCTAAATCTCGGGATCCCGGGATTGTGATAATGTCATCCCGAAAATCCCGGGATCGGAAAAAGCTGAAAAATTATCATCCCTAGTACTGGCCCGTTGGGGTACATGCCGAAAGAATTGGTTTGCCCTTGAACAGGTTCTGTAGCAGTTGCAACTGTCCAGCCGACAGGATAAGGCTTAAGACACTCGGCAAGCCAATCCTGGAGAATGTTTTAGAATGTTTATTGAATCATTTGAATGTGTTAGAATGCCGACCACTGTTTTAGAATGACGTACTGAAATTCAGTAAAGCCGCCAAATGGCTGTAGGTTGTACGAGTTGTGGAATCAAAATGGCAAATTTAACCAACCAATAAACCAACCAAACATCCATCTGAACCACTATTAAACACCAGGGCAATTCACCTAAACGCGTAAA